TTAAATGTTTTGGAAAATTCAAATTAAATCTAAAAATTTAGAGTTTCTGAAAGATAAGTAAGAAGGTGCTACATTTTTAATTTATCATCTATAAATATTTATTATAATTACATCAATTAAATGAGCTTAATATGAGTAATGCTGCTATGAGGGTTTAGTGTCACGATATAATTGTTTTAAGTGATGAAAGATTTTGTCACTGTATTTTCTTTTTCATGACTTAATTGTTTAAAGTGACGATATTGTACTATATATTTCATGACAAATAAACTTATCACCAAATATTTTCAATTAATGACAATTATTATATTTATAATATTAACAAATTTTAAATTGTCATTGAAAATATTTTTTTTATGACAACATGTAATCATGATGTATTTGTTTGGATTTGTTACCTTAATAAATTTTAAAATGACGGTAAATTTTGTCACTAAATATTTATGTTTTCACGACAACTTATGTTGTCATTATATCTCATACTTTTGGTGACAATCTTTTTCTTCGTAATCATAGAGCTAATAATTTCCTGACAAAAGAGTTCGTCGCTTTTGTATGTTTTTTGAGACAATGAATATTTCATCACTACGTCTATTTTTTGTGACATTTTTGTTATCGTCATATTTAAAATTTCTTTTTGTGACGACCAATATTTTGTAATTATAAAATAACTTTTTCATGACGAATTAAATAAAATATGACGATTTTTAAAACGAAAACACCACAAAAATATTCGTCACTGAAATTTTATAAATTTGATAAAATAATAAAATTCGTCACTAAAAATTAATATTTAGATGACAAAGTTAAGTTTTCATCAATTTAAACTTGTCTTTTTATGACAAAATAATTGTTTACATGGCCGAATTCTCATAATAAACGTGACGAAATTATCGTCATGAAAGATGACCAAATAACATGACGATACGTATAAATGTCACTAAAAGTTAAACATTTGGTGACAAGTTCGAAATTCGTCATCTAGACCTAATATGACGCGGCTACGGTGACGATCTCTGTGACGATAAAATTTCGTCATCAATTTACTTTTGTGACAAAAAATAAGGTTTACATGACGATTTTTATCGTCGTGTTTTCTGAAATTTCTTGTAGTAGGTGATGATATAATGATAGAAGTGTGGCCACCTTGCCTCTGAAGTCTGCCTTCTCTGTTTCCAGTCTTTTTTCAAGTTTTAAGAATATTAGCAGTTTCCGTCTTGGTCTTGTTCTTGGTTGCAGGAGGGAGTGCTAGGGGTTGAGCAGGTTGTACAGTTTCCACTTCCATATCCTTCATAGAATTTCTTGTGGGTGTATGAGAGGTCTTTGTGTCCACTAGAGAGTTTACCTTAGAGGTAGTGTAACACCCCGCTTATCAGAGTAAATTTTTCGCAACTTATTTCAAAAATACTTATAATCTTTCGAAATCTTCTTAACTCGGGATGCTACTAAACTTATCTGCTTTTAAAAATCTGTTTCTTTAAGCTCAGTCTAACAACTGAGTTAGATATAAATAAAATAGATTTTAAATATTGAACAAGTATGAAAACTTAACCAGTTCATGCTGACAATAGGTAAATTATTTAATCTTAAACTTTAATGTCACATATGTTCAAATATTGAAAAACGTAGCGAAAATCTTACAAGCATGGCAAACAAATCGAAACCTTATTAAAAATCCACAATAGAGACTTAATCAAATCCACGACCAATACCACCACAGCTCATCACACTTCTTCACCGACCCTGTTTCCTGAAAAATGATAATAGTGAGGCGTGAGTACTAATCCACTCTACTCCGCAAAAGCTCATACTAAAGTAAACATTAATAATAATATCAATATCATGATCACAGGTATATATAAACTTTACTTTCCCGGACCTTGGCCCGGTAAATTAAACTTTTAACTTCTTGACCCTTTGGTCGATAACCGTGTGAACACTCTGATGGCTTATTAAGGCCTTGGCCTCCACCAAAACTCGGGATGGCATATTAAGGCAACTGGCCTCCACCCAAAGCGGATAACTCATATACATACCTTTGACATGATAATAGCTATTATACTCAATGTAATACCCAGGCTGGGTCCCCATCTTTTCTTGTTGAAAACTTTTGAAAACTGTAAGTGCTGTACTGGTAGCTGTATCTGCAACTACATAAAAATATAAACAAATATACTAAGTACTATGCTCATTATACTTACTAAAATACTCGGATACTCGCATCTATTAGATAACTTATCCGAATATAAAGGAATACTCTAGAGATCATACTAAGTCCGGATTTAAATTGGTATACTTAAACTGAACCGAAACTTAATCATTTTCATACTCTTCAAAATTTCACATTAATTAATATAATGAGAAAAACTAAAATCATATGTTATAACTCAATTCACCTCATTTTAATCTTAACTTTAACATATGTATTCTCAACATATATATAAAGTTACCATAAAAAATTTCACTTTAAAATAATATTCATATTTTGAGATATATTATTTCAAAGTTGAACTATATCAAAACATTCAATTTACTTGCATACTTGTCTTTAAAAATCATATCTCATGCTACAATTATCTAAAAATTCTAAAACTTTATATCTTAACTCTCAACTAAATGAAGAAATATTCTGTAAATTTTCTCATAAAAATAATAACCATAAAGTGAGATATGAATTTTCAAATAATGCTTGTCTTGTTGATTTTCGAGATTTACTCACTTATGTTCATTATTTTCTATAGCATGCTAAACAAGTCCAATAAATATAAAATTTAAACTAGAAGTTCTTAACTAATATATGAATTGACGATAAAATTTCCAACTAAATATAATATCAATAGATAGGGTAATTCAATACCATAAATCATCATTACTACACAGATTTTTCACTGGACAACACCTTAATATAAGATTTTTAGAAAATTCATTTTAACTTCGACTAATCTAAAAATTTTCAGTATTATTCTCAACATAATGACTATCTTATATAAAAATTTTCATAATTTTTGGAACTCAATAGCTTGGTCAAAAACAAACAAATATAGGCTGCAACATCATGAACTTTAAATAATCTTATATTATATACTTATATATATAAAAATTATAATTTCTTAACATAATAACATATTAATAACACATATAAACACTTATAATTCTTAACTATACTTGATGATATTAAAGTTGTATAACATACCTCTTCCAATCTTGAGAAAACAAAGCAATGAAACTTGATTCACATTCTCTCGAAATTGCTCGATTCCTCTCGTAACTACTCGTTTCTTACTATTTCTTGCTCTTTGAATATTTATAACATTTTTAGTGCTTCTAAAATCTGATTTTAAGGCCCTCTATTTATAGGCATAAGAGCTCTTCATTGCTGATAATTTTCCTCACCAAATTTGCTTAGAAATTAATATAAAAACTTAACTTGAATTAATATATAACTGTTCATGTGTGATTTTACACTACATTCATATAGTATTTAGAGCTTGATTGGTACATTTGTGGTGTATAAATTGCATATTTGTGCCTTAATTTTATATTTGTTGGAAAGGTATTACACGTGCTCGTTTTGTATATATTTTCACATATTTGTAGAGCTTTGGCTATTGGAGGAGCATAGTGAGTGCCTGAGACTCCCGGGATAATGATAGATCGATGCACGGATAAAGAGAATGGAAGAAAAGA